AACTATGCTAAATCTGTATTTCCTTTAGTCCCATTAATCCCCTTAGTTATTTTTGTCCCTTTAATCCTTTTAGTCCCTTTAAGGGTGGATGTGGGTGCGAATTTTCTATTCTTTGATATCCATAACTACATTCACGCCCGCATCCTACAACCATACATCCACAGCCACATCCTGAAGAACGATATAGCTCCGTTGCAACAAAGACAGCTCAAAGTTAACTAATTCGGTGAAATTCGGATCTAAATTCTCTATCGTCAGTGAAGTCCTCTCACTTGATCTATTAGGTAGTAATCAACTACAATTAACGTCTATCAAGACTCATTTCACTTGACTCTAGACTGACGAAATGAGCAGGTAGATGTTTGCTTTTCGTCCATATCGACACCGTCAGTTATTCACCCTCTTCCATAGAACAACGAGTAGTTGTTTATATATTACTATCTGAAAATCAATTTACGGATAACTTAGACAGATTATTGTTGTTTTTTAATAGCGAAAATTCTGCAGGCCATCGAAATTGATAACAGGAAAGTTATTTTCTGTTGACTAACGAAGTACTCTGATAGACATCTATACAATAAATCTTGTGTGAATGCAATAATTGTTGACCTATTATTTTCTGAGAATTTTTCTCTTACAAGCTAAACGATAATTTGAGTGAGAATTAAACACTCAAGTGAAGAACAAATTGGGGTGTTGATGAGTGTTTTCCTCTCATATATACACCCGTACTCACATCCACACCCACCAGAACTCTCTTTTTAGTAGCCATCTAAAATCTTTTGCAACTGACGTGGCCTTAAAAAAAGATCAAAACGTGTCATGGAAGCTTGTCACAGATATTCACTAGAAGGTGCAGATGCGAGTATGGATATATAAACGAGAAAAAAACATTCACCCATACGCACATCCACCCATACCCATACTCACCAACACCCACATCACATCCATACACCCTCAAACCAAAAATTGCAAGAAAAGGATACCAGCGAACTTTTCTACACAGGAGAAGCCTTCTCCCTTCTAAACTAAAAGCAACTGTGGCTAAAATGAAATCATGTGCACGCCAAAAAGTCACTCACATAAGCGATCACCGCACACAACCTCCTGAGTTCGAATCTCACATATGTCAAGTTATCATGGTCTCCGATATCGATAGAGCAGCTCTCGAACCCCATAGTGCAGACTATAGGAATATCGATGCTACCCATGAAACGCGAAAAGTGCGCCAGCATGGAAGAACGTCAGTGCCATTAGGAAATATCGCAGCACAGTAAAGTTGGTTGTCTATCCCTCCAATGATAGAATTATGACTGCAGTCTTCTGAGATAATGTTTATAGAGTTTTTAAGCTCAAAAGCAGCGGGTGCGCAGTTGTCTGCCTATCGATAGCTGCTCACTCCTCGTCGAACCTAGAAGTAGCAACTGAGCGATTGTTCATCTCGACGGCGTCGACCGAGAAAAGTTTTTCTTGTAACAGGCTGGAGCTACGAAGTCGTGGTAGTAAACGAAGAGCGTGTAGATGTCGTTCCACCTGACGGTGCGCGGTTAGTTGTCGAGCTCGAAGCTGGCCGCTGTGTGGATGTCGTTCCACCTGACGGTGCGCGGTTAGTTGTCGAGCTCGAAGCTGGCCGCGGTGCAGTTGTCGTTCCACCTGACGGTGCGCGGTTAGTTGTCGAGCTCGAAGCTGGCCGCGGTGTGGATGTCGTTCCACCTGACGGTGCGCGGTTAGTTGTCGAGCTCGAAGCTGGCCGCGGTGCAGTTGTCGTTCCACCTGACGGTGCGCGGTTAGTTGTCGAGCTCGAAGCTAGCCGCTGTGTGGATGTCGTTCCACCTGACGGTGGGCGGTTAGTTGTCGAGCTCAAAGCTGGCCGCTGTGTGGATGTCGTTCCACCTGACGGTGCGCGGTTAGTTGTCGAGCTCGAAGCTGGCCGCGGTGCAATTGTCGTTCCACCTGACGGTGCGCGGTTAGTTGTCGAAGTCGAAGCTGGCCGACGTGTGGATGTTGTTCCATCTGACGGTGCACGGTTAGTTGTCGAACTTGAAGCTGGCCGCTGTGCAGTTGCCGTTCCACCTGACGGTGCGCGGTTAGTTGTCGAGCTCGAAGCTAGCCGCTGTGTGGATGTTGTTCCACCTGATGGTGGGCGGTTAGTTGTCGAGCTTGAAGCTGGCCGCTGTGTGGATGTTGATCCACCTGACGGTGCCCGAGCAGTTGTCGAGCTCGAAGCTGGCCGCGGTGCAGTTGTCGTTCCACCTGACGGTGCGCGGTTAGTTGTCGAGCTCGAAGCAG